TAAGATCATACGGCTAGTAATCCACAACACAGAACCCCAAATTAGCTTGCTCATCTAAAGACAAAAAAATGGCACCTTTCAAGGTCCAATCCTTGGGCGTCCTGGAATTCCCAATTGCCAACACCTGCCACCCTCTAATCTTGGCCATCTTCTTCAACGAATCAGACGAATAATCCGACACAGACACCACAATCCATTGCTCTGATCGAAAATTGGCGTAAGGAGACGACTTATCACTAATGGTTGCGATCGAATTCCACTTGATTTGAGGGAGAGAGATGGAATCAAGAGACTGCTGCGTCTTGGACTGGAGTTGGAGGAAAGAAGCCGTGTTGGTGGCGTTGTAGAGGAAGAAGATGGCTTCAACAGTGAATATTAGGATACATATTGTAACAATTTTGTAGAAATTATCAGCAACCCATGTCGAAAAGTCAAGGCTTTTGGCCTTGGAGAAACGATGGTGGTTTCGGTGCAGCGTGGGAGAGCTTTGACCTGGGATTTCGGCGATTTCGGTGATTTTGGCACTGCCCGATCCTTGACCCACATTTGATCTTCTGAGGATGCTTTAAATTCAGTTTATCTCCGCTGCTGAATTCGTGGGGTTTTTGATATTCAATTGTGCTTCTCACTCTCAGCTTGACTCATAGTTTGAATTCTCCGGCGGCGTTGCAGTCGTCGTCGTCACCGTCTTCTAGGACTGAAAAGTTCAATACTTTCTGGTACTGTAATTGCACCAAACCAGAAATCTTTTTTTAGTTCCCGTCTTCACTTCGGATGAACTTGTAAAGCCTCGAGGTGGGTCCTCGGGTTAGACATTTCGATACTTAAGTTAACAATAATCGGATCTATCTCTAGACTAATAAAAAATGAGTTTTATGTTGGTTTCAATTACCTTTTTGAGGTGACCCCTGGAGATATTTATAGGCCTTCGTGAGGTGTCCACGTGGCTTGCTTAATAGTATAATTGGAGTGTGACATGTCCCTTGAGGCGGTAAATTCGGGACCGAAAAATTGTGTGCGATAGATCAAGTGTGGGCATGTCCACTATATTTATCATGTAGCCATTTGACCAGGTAGTATTGGATTTAATTTCACTTCGGCTATTAAGGAATTGTTACAGTACGTCCGAGGTTAAGGATCTCGGACCTATCCTTATACTATTCCCCTCTCGAAGTTATTCACTTGTGAATAATGTTGTTAGAGATAATGGGAGTAGTGCATAAATAGATAGAAAGAGGAATGAAAATATTAAATATGAGTTACAGAAGTTAAAATAAAAATTGGTAACTCAAATTCTTGTATGGTCGTAACTAATAGTGGAATATGTGACATGGGGTTATTTTGGCCATTCCCAAAATAAAATGTGATCGGAATGATTGTGATCGGAACCGTAGTGAAAATAATGATCGGAGTCAGTGTGGTCGGAGCCATAGTAAGAAGTGATGACCGGAGTCATAGTGGCCGGAGCCATAGTAAAAAGTGATGACTGGAGTCATAGTGGCCAGAGCCGTATTAAAAAGTGATGACCGGAGTCATAGTGGCCGGAACCGTAGTAAAAAGTGATGACCGGAGTCATAGTGGCCGGAGTCGAGGTAAAAAGGTAATGACCGGAGTCATTGTGGTTGTAGCCGAGGTAAAATACTTGTAAAATTGAAAAATATTATTGTGAAAATGAACAGAAGTGTTGAGTTGGGCTTAAGTGGGCTCGTTTAAAAAGTCTGACATGGGGTTAGTATGTGACATGACAACTGTCTGTTGAAAGACGTGTACAATAAATACGGGCTAAAAAAAGTAGCTGATATACTTAGACAGACGAAGTGGAAAACGAACGTCGAATTCGAATGATTTTCGTTAGGGTTGTATTGTTGAATTCGAAACGGTGTGAATTATGACTGTCAGATTAAATTAATCACAACCGTTGAGATTTATTTTTGCTCTGAGATATATATAGCCATATTCCTGTAAAAAGAGTTTTACTTTCATTATATTTTCTTACGAAATTGCAGCCAAAACTCTATTGTGTTATTCCTACGCCTAAACTATTGCATCATTTGTGGACTTCTACATCAAGTTTTCAAGACCGAGATCAGGTAACATATGAGTTTTGGTGATTTGGATTTTAGAGTGTGTTTTCTTCTACTCTCATCCTTTCTGATTTTGATCTAAGTCTTTTGAAGGAAGTTAGGTTTAGGAGTGAGAGTAACGGTGAGTGTGAGTTAGAAATTTTGAAAATCCTGATTTTATTTTCTTTTTCCCCCCCTCTGTATTCCATGCAGTGAAAGTTACAAACTTTGAAGAGATGTCTTCTGAAGAAATGGTGAGCGTTGGGGGAAGTGAGGAAGTGAGGGCGTTAGAATATGGTGACGTGAGTATGACCAGTGAGTCGTTTGGCTCGGAGGGGACGGAGGAGGGGGTGGGAAGAGGTGAGGTAGTTGGGGTAGAGGGAGATAGGGTACCCATTACTGTAGTAGAAGTGGAGGGTATGAGGGAAAGGTGTTATGATATAGATGCAGATATTGTATCTGAGGTGAAGCAGTATGAGTCTGAGCTCGAGACCAGGGATAGCCTCTATTATTTTGTTGAAAGTTATGAAATTTCTTCCCGAGTTCTGATTAGGCCTGCTGGGGTTGAGGAGAGGGCCTGTTCTGCACCTCGGGATCATTGGATGCCCGTGTATGCCCATTATTTGGCAGCTGGGCTTAGGTTTCCAATTCCTGAGTTGTTAGTGGGTCTATTATTAGATTATAGTATAGGGTTGACACAATTAGTCCCCAACGCTATGAGGGTAATAATAGGGTTTTTAGTTTATTGCCGAGCTTAGGGGGTTAATGTGCCAACTGTAAATATGTTTAAATATTTTTTTGTTCTAAAGGGGGTAGTAGAAAGGACAAGGGGTGGTATTATTTCACCCCTAGAGTGTCAAATAGAGAGAGTAGGAGCTTATTTACAGCGGGTCCTTCATCCATTAAAGGATGGAAGGAAAAATTTTTCTTTGTAGATGACATTGAGTGGGAGAGGGGGGATGCTGAGGTAGAATTGTTGTCATCTTGGAAGGCTAAGAAAGCCAATCAAAATAAGTATAGTTTAAATGAGAATGAGGAAGAAGAGGTGGGGAAGCTGGTGAGGGAGGGGGCTAAGTTAGCTAATATAATGTGCCTCACCAACGCAGAATGTATAGAGGCTGCTGAGCTCTATGGGCCAAGCGCTTTGAGTGAAGGTGTGTTTAGATTTTATATTGTAGTGTTTGATGTGGAGCATAGAGTTGTGTGGTTGACACTTTGTTTTAATTGTTTTGCAGCTGAAATGGATAAATTCTTGAATGCTGCTAGGGGGTGGCTATTCCAAAGAAGCCGAGGAAGAAGTCAAAGACTTCAACCAAGGAAGTGGGGGAGGGAGGAGCTGGGAAGGAGTTAGTGCCCAGCACCTCAGCTGGAGTGGAGGAGGTGGTGCTCAGGCTGGAGCTGAAGAGGAAAGGCAGTGAGGAGGTGGGAACGTTGTAGAGGAAGAAAAAGGTGGTGGAGGAAGAGGTTAGGGGGAGCGAGGTTCTACAGTTCGTACCTCGGCCTCCTCTTGTTGAGCTCGATCCTGAGCTCAGGGAGTCTGAGGTTGAGGGGGCTGAGGTGAGGGCTCCTGGTAAAGGGAAGGGCCTCGTTCCCCCATTGTCCTTTTAGAGTAGTCTGTTTAAGGCGAAGAACGCGACGAGGGCAAGGAGGTCTATTAATGCAACCTTCCCCGAAGTGGACAAGTGTAAAGTAAGGGACGAAGCTCTGAGATATTGTGGGGCAACTGTGATGAAGCATGCCCTGGAGGTATGCTAAGTTGATTTATTTGTAGCTGTTGGTGTGTTTGTTGGCTTTTTTTTTTTTTTTTTGACTTGTGCTTGAATTGCAGAGTACGTGCTGGGTGAATAGTCTAGCCCAGGAATTCATGGAGAGTGTGAAGGAGCACTCCCTCTTACAAAGGTAGTGTGACTAGCTGCAGAAGGAAAAGGAAGAGCTAGAAAAGAAAAATAAAGACATGCAAGAAACGCTGGACGAGGTGGTACCAGCAATGAAGCAGCTTGAGCAAAAGAGGGATTCCCTGAGTACCAAGCTCGTCTTTGAGGAGAAAAAATGGAAAATCTCTGAAAGCAAGAGTGAGGCTCAGAAGAAGGAAATAAAAGCAATGAAGGAAGCTGTGGTGGAACTGAAGAAGAATGTGCAACTGCTGGTACACAACGAGATGGAGGAACATATCAGCAACTTTGTCAACTCCAGCTCATTTGACAACATCGTCAACCTCTACCGGCTGCTCACTGCTATTCTTGCCTTCACTGACTGTAGAAAGAAGGTGAAAGCTGAATATCCCAAAGTGGATATTACGAAGATCACCTTCTGCGAACAAGAGGAAGGAGTGGAGGAAAACGGTGAGAGCATGTCAGCAGACTTCTGTCCTCAAATTCAGTTGAGGTGGGATCATGATGCAGAAGGACGTACCGTTTTCCATCCAAATTTTGACTTCGAGTTCGTGGCAGTGGAGGAAGAAGAGACAGAGGTAAAGGAAACTGAAGTAGGAGCAGGGGCGGGAGGAGCTGAAGTGGATGAAAGTTAGCCACCTCTGCAAGTGGAAGTCCATCCAGTTCCTTCTGATGATGAGTAGCCACCTCTTTAGCCGAGCAACAGCCAACTCAGCCACCTCCTCCAGCAGAGGAATAAAGAATTTCTATTTTTTGATTTTTCTTATTTGATAACGTTGGAACAATTGAATAGATTGTAATTTTATTATTTGTTTTTAATGAAAAATTTTGTGTTTACAATTATGTGTAATACTTGTTTTACGTTTTGGTTGTTTTATATTAATATAAGAATTGAGATAAGGTAAATTACTTTGGATATGACTTGAGGGGAAGTAAATCATTTCAAAGATGAACTGAAAACAAGTAAATCACTTCAAAGATGAACTGAAAACAAGTAAATCACTTCGTATGTGAAGTGACATTCATTAATAAAAGTGAAGTCTAAGGAATAAATTCTAAACAAATTGACCTCGGATATACAAAATAAGAGATAAAATGAATCTCAACAATCAAGAAGTAATAAGTATAAAGGAGAATAAGACATAGATCACTTGAAAGAAGTTTATTAGGGGTAAAATTTCTTCAAGTTATTGATATTCCAGACTCTAGGAACTCTCTTCCCTTTAGCGTCTTGAAGGACATAGGCACCAGGATGTGGCACTTCAGCCACTGTATAAGGGCCTTCCCAGTTTGGGGTCAGTTTGCCAAAACAAGTTTCAAACCCTATTAGGCCAGCCTTTCTGAAAACAAGGTCTCCTACTTTGAATGTTCGAGGGCGGACTCATTTGTTGTAGAAGTTGGCTAATTTCTGCTTGTATACAAGAGTTTGAAGTTGTGCTTCTTCTTTGACTTCGACAAGTAGATCAAGGTTTTCCCTAAGCAGTTGTTCATTTCGTCCTTCATCAAAATGGGTTACCCTGAAGCTTGGGACTCCTATTTCAATAAGAATGACTGCTTCGGTACCAAAGGTCAGGTGGTAGGGTGTTTCACCTATTTCATAAAATTATAGTCTTTAGAATATACTTTACATATTATGCATATTTCATCTAGGGTACAGCCGTAGGTGAGAAAATAAATATCAAATGAAAGTATCTTGGGTTGGAAATAGTACCCGTGGCAGTTCGGCTCGTAGTTCTATATGCCCAAAGGATGTTGTTGAGTTCGTCTGTCCACTTGGCCTTGTGCTGCTCCAACCTCAGCTTTATTCCTTCTAAAATAGCTTTATTAATAGATTCTACCATACCATTGGACTCCGGATGATAAATTGAGGTGAATTGTAGTTTGATCCCGTAACTAGAGCAGAAATCTTGGAAGGAGAAGCAGTTAAACTAAGTACCATTGTCGGCCACAATCTGGTTCGGGATCCCATATCTACAGATAATTGAGCCAAAAACAAAGTCTTCGACCTTTCTAGAAGTAAGATTGGATAATGGCCGAGCTTCAACCCATTTCGTAAAATAATCAACTCCCACAATCAGATGGGTTACACCTCCAACCCCTTTCATGAATGGGCCCAAAAGATCAAGTCCCCACTGAGCAAATGGCCATGGTGCTACCAAGTTGGTGAGCTCTTCTGCTGGTTGGTGAGTCAAATGTGCGAAGAATTGGCACTTCGGGCATCTCTGAACAAAGTGAGTAGTATCTTTATACATATTCGACCAGTAATATCCCTGCCTGAGGACTTTGTGAGCCAGGGTTCTAGCACCAATGTAGCTTCCACATACACCTTCATGCACCTCCTGAAGTGCGTACTCAGCCTCGTAAGGATTCAAGCACCGTAGAAAAGGGAATGAGAAAGATCTCTTATAGAGGACCCCATCGATGGGTGTATATCAAGACACTTTCTTCCTTAACCTCATTGCCTCTTGCTTGTCTTCAGGCACTGTCCCGTCTTATAAAAATGAGATAATTGGATCAGTCCAGCTCGGTGTATCCAGGTCTGTGCTGATCTCCATTATTCGTGGCTTCATGAAGCTTGGTTCATCTAAAACTTCCACGAAAACTCATTTGGAACTTAAAGAGCTATCAGAGGCGAATTTAGAAAGTGAATCTGCTTGTTCATTCTCAGTTCGGGGAATTTTGTTTAGACAAAATTTCTAGAATTTGCACTTCAGCTCGGCCACTAGGGCTACATATTTCATCATCACAAGATCAACAATTTTGCAAATGGAGTTTACTTGATTAACCAAAGGTTAAACCCCCATTTTGGTCCCTCAACTATTGTACGGACCCCCGACTTAATCCCTCAACTCAAAAAATCCCTGATTTGGTCCCTACTGTTTACCATTTTTACCCCAATTTAGTCCCTCCGTTAAAAATCCAATGACGTGTCACGTTAATTAACTGCAGCATGATGACGTGTCTAAATAGAGTGACACCTCTTTTGCATACCTGTAAAAAAAAAAATGACATGGCAGTATGATTTTGATCCAAAAAGACCAAAACTAAAAAAAAAGGAGTGGGCCCCACCTGAACCCTTCTCCCCCTTTCTTCCCATTCGAACTAGAACAACAGAGCTTTCTCAATTTCTCAGCAAGAATCCACAGAAAAAAAAAAGAGAAATTTTTTGTATTTTTCTCAGTTCCTCCTCAATTCCTTCATCAATCAATTCTTCATCATCATCAACAAGATCCACAGAGAAAAAAAAAACAGAATTTTTTTTACTTTTTGCTTTTGGGTTCATTCGAACCTAGGAAGCTAGGAATCCACCTGGGTTCGAAAGAACCCAGGAAGCCAGGCATCCACCTGGGTTCGAAAGAACCCAGGAAGCCAGGCATCCACCTGGGCTCGAAAGAACCCAGGAAGCCAGGCATCCACCTGGGTTCGAAAGAACCCAGGAAGCCAGGCGTCCACCTGGGTTCGAACGAACCCAGGAGGAGGACGAACCAGGAGTC